TACATACGTTGTTCATATACGTTGTTCACATACACATACACACATACAGACGTTATAATCTAAATTTATCCGAGCTTTATTAAATTATAACGCAGTGCTACTTGCTTCTCGATGTTTATTAACGAAATAAAGCTCAGTGAAACGACTGATTGGCTTAGATACATACATACATACATATATATATATATGTGTGTGTGTGTATGTATAAATATATTTGTAGAGGGGGAGAAAAAAAAATGAAATAGAAAGATAGAAAGATATTATACGTTCAGTCGATCATCGAAAAAAAAGAAAAAAAAAATGAAGAAATATAAAAATAACAGGAGAATGTAAGGAAATAATAATAATAACAACAATAATAATAATAATCGTCGTAATAATTTTCGTATAAATTATTGACAAATTTGATGATATCCCGTAAAGTAATGAGCATACCTGTTGCATAGTTTAACATAAATCTTTATGCTCTGATAATTTTCATCCTCATAATCGATCCCTTCGTTCTACCTAAACGTCGTAACTCGTTGAAATTTATTCTCAATTTGTGTATTACAAATTATCCAATTTATGGATTATACATTTTTATTTGTAAATTTTATTATACGTAATGTTTATAATTAATGACGAAATATTTCTCATTGATAATATTTGAAAATTCATAGAGAAAAATATATATTATTTGAACGATAGCCACGATAGTTATAATATTTAATAGATAATATTACGTTTGAATTTATTGAACGTTAGAATTGACTTTAATCTTAAGGAATAATGATTGATAAGAAATTTATTTTCTAATGTTAATCGTTTGAAAATTCGTGATGAATAATATTTTTTAATTTTGTCATAGACGTTATCGTTATTCAAAATTAAATTTATTATATTTGATAGATATTATAATTGGATGTAATATGTAGAGAAAATTTATGGAATGAAGAATTTTTTGTTTTTTTTTTTTTTTTTTTTTTTTTTTTTCTTTTTAAAGGAAACTTTTCCAAAATTCCTAGACATATACGTCTTTTCGTTTTTGTTCGAATCGATTTTTTTTTTCTTTACGTATAAATAACATAATTCAGTTTAATATCGTTGACGTGTATAGAAGAAAAATTTTACTTAAAGTAAACATTTGAAAATTCGTAGGCGTATCTTTTCGATTTTGTTCGAATGTTCTTTTTTTATTTATGATCATGTAATATTCATTAGTAAATAACATGAACCAAATATATAATATCCTTGGTACGCGTAGAACGAACATTTGTTTAAAGTCAAAATTAAAACCAAAAATTCATAAACATATATTTTTTTATTTTTATTTCAATGTTTTTTTCATTATTTATATATTATCGTGTTATATCTATTAATAAATATTATAATTCGTTATAATATCCTTGACACGTGTAAAGCAAAAAATATTTTTAAAGGAAACATTTGAAAATTCTTCGACATATATCTTTTTGCTTTCGTTTAAATCTATTCTTTCTTTATTTATTTATGATCACGTTATATTTATTGGTAAATATTTATCATAATTCATTTGTAACGTTAACAAAACAAAATTTTCGTAGAGGAAAAATTTTTTTTCTTTATAGAAAACATGTAAAAAAACATTCTCAAAAATATTTCTTTTCTTTCGACATTATCACTATTTAAAATTATTTTATATTTATAATTAAATATCTGTCATAATTCATTCCAATGTTGATCTTTTTTTATTAACGATCATGTTATATTTATTAGTAATTATCAATCATAATTCATTGTAATATTAATGAAACGTGGGGAAGAACAAATTTTTTAACAAAAAAAAAAAAAAAAAAGAAAAATCATTTGATTATTCAAAGAAATATCTTTTCGCTATTGTTTCAACATTATCTTTTATCTTTATTAAAAATATTATCTCATATTTATTATCATATAACATTATCTAAAATAATTCGCTGTAATATCGATGAAAATTATGTATATGGAGCGAAAGATTTCTTTCAAAAAAAAAAAAAAAGAAAAAAAAAGAAAAAGAAATACGTTTGATTGTACATAGAAACATTTACATGTTATTATTCCAATACTATTATCATTATCAGAAATATTATCATATATTTATTAACAAATAATATCATTTAACGTAATTCACTATAATATCAATGTAAATCAATTAAAAATTTCTCAAAAAAGGGAACAATTGATAATACATAGAAATATATCTTTTCGCTTTTCGTTTCCGACGTTATCTTTATCTGAGATTACGTTAGTCGTTGACGTAGTCGACAAATAATGACGCGTCTCAATGGATGAGCTTATACAACGTTCGAAGGGGGGAGGGTGGGGTGGAGGGCGGAGGAAGGGGGTACGGCAGGAAGGGGGAGGGGGCGGTAGAGAAGAAGAAAGGAGTGAGAGAACAAAAAACGAAACGTAAAAAAAAAGACAAAAAACACGAAAAATAATACATATTCAAAAAGAGAGAGAGAGAATGAGAATGAGAATGAGAATGAGAGAGAGAGAG